TGAAATATGAGTAAAACAAACTCAGTTTCTTTGGTAACTCAGACAGGGAGAATAGTTGTTGTCGGGTGTTGGTGAATGCTGGCGTGTCACCCAAAACGTCGTGGCGTGTCATAGGTTCGCCATCACTGAGCTAGTCCAACCTCACCTCAGGATAAGAAATCCAGCGCTGCGACACTGCCAGCAGATGTTTCCCCAGCCTCTGTGGATAGGACTCTAGTGAGGGAGAGCCACAACGGCCTGAATCAAGGGCGTGGTCATCTGTGGCTCTCCAGATGATGATGAACGACAGCTCCAGCCAGCATGGACAAAGCAGAGGAAAGCTGGGAGTTCCATCTGGTAGACCAGAGATAGTCTTGCTTGCCCTAGATCAGTGCTTCGCAACCTTGGCAGTTTGTAGGTGTGGGTGGACTTCAAATCCCAGAATTCCACAGCCAACATGGCCATTAATGAGAATTTTGGGAGTTGAAATCTACACACCTGGAAGTTGCCAAGTTTGGGAAAGGATTGCCCTAGGTAATTGATTCCACTATCAAATTGCTCTTACTGTTAAGATGTTCCTTCTGATATTGACCCCGCATCTGACATCCCATAATATGCTTTGAAGTAGTTTCCTGTGACCTTGGTTATTTTTTTTAAGCATCTGATAGGAATGACATTTGTGCAGATCAGTTCCTCCTATTTACCCTGCTCCCAATCCCCTGCTTGTTCCCACTTCTTTTCCAAAGAGGAGAAAAATGTTATACAGGTAATCCTCACCTAGCGACTGCCTTGTTGAACAACTGTTTGCAGTTACGACGGTGATGAAAAAGTAACTTTACGACCAATCCTCATATTCGCAGGTCTGTAAGGCAAAGGGAACTTGAAGTAAGATCGTAAGCATAGTTGCGGTGTCACTTAGCGACCGCTTCGCTTAATGACCAAGTTGCCAGTCCCAATTGTGGTCGCTAAATGAGGACTACCTGTACTGGGGTCAGGGGCATTCATGACTGGCTGGGTGTCCGCATCTGCAAGATAGTGGATGTGACAGCACCATCAGAGCCCCACCCCTTCATTGTGTGTGTTGTGCGGCCCTCCCTGCTATTCTGACTCTTTTCCGCAGCCCCCCTTTGGTTGGGGCAATAAATAGTGGAAGGGGCAGATTGTAAAATAAAAAGGAAACCAAAAAGCAAGGCTGCTTCCCCATGTGGCCTTGCTGTGCAGTTGTCCTGTGTCTTTTTAAAAAAAAAAATTAATCCCACCTTTATTATTTTTATAAATAACTCAAGGTGGTGAACATACCTAATACTCCTCCTATTTTCCCCACAACAACAACCCTGCGAGGTGGGTTGGGCTGAGAGAGAGGGACTGGCCCAAAGTCACCCAGCCGGCTCTCATGCCTGAGGCAGGACTAGAACTCACCGTCTCCTGCTTTCTGGCCTGGGGGCTTCACCCCTAGGCCAAACCGGCTCTCTTTTGGTTGAAATGGACGGTCACTGATAATCCTCTCCATCGCTACCTCATTTTTTATATACATACAAAAGGGCAGGATTTGGATTGCAACTTGGTGCCTGTCATCTTGCAGATTTTGACACCCCCCACCCCAGATGTGATGGTTCCTTATTCTCTCTTTGTAGCCATGCACACACAAACATGCTGTGAAGGGAAGTGTGCAATAACACATTTCCTGGGGGAGCAAATGAGGACTCAATGTTCTTACCTGGAACTCAAGGGGTTTTTGTAAGCCCCCAACAGCTCCAGTTGAGGACAAACTCCAAGGAAGCAGAGGTGCACCCCACACCTTGGATCCCTGCAGATGGATGCGTTGAAGTGGCTGTCCTTCGTGGCCCCAATCCTGGGAATTTAGAAGCCATGAGACTTAATGAACAGTCCACATTTCCTTAAGATGGCATTATATTTGTGCATTGATACTTCCAAGTGATGTACGCACCCACGCACACACACATACAGATTTTTGGATGTTTTCCTTCCCTTTATAATATCCTTTTTTCCCTTGTTATCAATGGTAATATTTCATGAAAAAATAATGAAAAAGGAAAAATATAAAGAAAACAGGAAAGGAAACTTTTGAGAGGGGAACTACTTCACTGGGTTGAGCAGAATATTTGCATTTTAAGCGCTTCCCTTGCTATACATACACGCTCTCCTATTTTTACCCCAAGCAACAACCCTGTCAGGTAGGTTGGGCTGAGAGAAAGGAGCTGGTCCAAAGTTACCGCATAAGCTTCTGTGGCGGAGGGGGTTAAATCCTGTTTCTCCCTGCTCCTTTTTTTTTATTATTATGAATTTTATTATATACATATACACCAAATAAGAAACACGAATTAATACAATTACAATTATTGCAATTCCAATTACATTACTATTTATAATATACTAAAAAGAAAAAGAAAAAGGAGAGAAAGAAAGAGAAGGAGAGAAAGAAAAAAAAAGGAGAAAGAGAAAAAGAAAACCGGTTTCCGACTCTCACAGTTATAGATATCTAATCATTTATCTTTAAAAATCTCTTTTCTATATTTTCCCCTTTGTGTTTCTCCCTGCTCCTTGCTTGTGATCTTTGCCACTACACCACCCTGGCTCTCCATTTATTCCACATCCTGTTTTTTCCCCCACTTGTTTTCTTCTCTGAGTGGGCCAGCATCTTGCTCAGCTTTTTACGCTCCATTGAAGGCACTAAGATGGCGAATTCCAGCTTTGAGGCACCAAGTGCATTTGCAGCAATAAGCTCAGGTCTGGAGTACTCTGTTGCTTGAAAAGCTGCTTCTTCCTCTACAGGCAGTCCTCGTTTAGCAGCTGCCTCGTTTAGTGACTCTTTGCAGTTATGACAGTGATGAAAAAGTAATTTTGCGCCCAGTCCACGCATTTATGACCTTCACAGGTCTGTAAAGCCAAAGAAAGCTGTAGGAAAATCATAAGCACAGTCACAGTTTCACTCAGCAACTGCTTCACTTAACAACTGAGTTGCTGGTCCCAATTGTGGTCGTTAAATGAGGACTTCCTGTATTCCTCTGCTCCTTTGGCTCTGTGCCTTCTTCCACAAGAGCTCTCCTGTGTGCATGGCAGTTAAAGAACTCTGGACAGCTTTTTCCCCGTCTGCTGAAATCCTAGCAGGATTTCCCTTGGTGGGTGTTCCTAGCCTCCTCCCCTTCTCCTCCCTCCATGGCTTTTTGCAGTTCTTCTCCTGAATGCGGATTTCCTCTGAGGAATCAGTGTGAGGGGAGACATTCAAATCTCTGCAGCAGGGGACTCCCAATTTATATGCATCTCATAAACTGGATTCTGCAGTTTGTATGCAGGTTCATTCCATTCCACATTTTTGCTTTTTTAGAGGGTTTTCTGCTCTTTATGGGAAGGGGCGAATTGAGCAGTGAAAAAAAGTCTCAGAGCAATGAGACTCTTGTTTAACTCTACATCTTTACTCCCAGCCTGAAGTTGCAATAACATCTATCGAGTTTATTTTTTTTATTAATTTTTATTGCTTTTTAATTAAGAACATTTGTCATGTTTATTATCTAAGCTTAAGGACTAGAACCTTTTTTTTTTTAATGGAAAATATGATTATGATGTTATTGCATTGTGTTGTGAACGCTGGTGATTGTCCTTTAATGAACAGGTGTTTAGAAAAGAGCCAGTCTTTTAAGAAAAGTGGAGTTGAAAATATTGTAATTTGCTTTTTTTCTGGACCGAGCAGGACGGATATCCAGAATTCCAGTGGTTCACAAGCACAAAGGCGATACAGGGACTGGAACCCGCCATTATTAGGGAATCTTCCGGATGACTTCCTCCGCATCTTACCGCAGCAAATGGATACGGTACAGGTGGGAAATAGAGACGTTTTGTATTTAGAGTGGGAACACATTGCTCCGGGGGAGTGGGCTGTGACATCCATTTGGTGTGATCACTGATATGTAGTGTCACGAGAGGATTTGATATTCTCATACTTTCTTCAGCACAGATGCATTGGGCCTGGTTAGGACTTGGATGGAGGACCATAAAGTCATCTCCAGGGCTCCAGGCCAGACTGGGGGGGAAAGCATCCTTAAAAAGACAATGGCAAACCACTTTGTCTTGTTGCCAAGAAAACTACATGGATATGCTCATATTGTCAGCCCCACTAGATAAACCTGACCATGAAATCAACTCAACAGGAAGGCTAAAACTTGAGATGGGCTATAGTCACAGAATCTTGCAAGGCTGGGTGTGCTGGACCTCCTCCTCCTTCTTACAGCTCAGTGAATTAGAGAAGCGTCTGCTATCCGGATGTTCTGGACTTAAAAAATGCTTCAGCCCCTTGTGCCTAGGTAACAGCACCTGCATATCCCCATCCGCGTCACCTTCCTTACTCCCTACGTGTATAATCACCAGCAGCTCAATTCAAGGATGCCTTTACATGCTTTCTTCAGGACACTCTGCTGTCCTAGTCACCTTCCATTTGTTGTGGTGGCTGTGCTGCTGCCGTTATTAGACGTCTAGGTGAGGGCCCTGGCTGTCGTCTGTCCACAGATTTCTAAAGAGGAAAAACCTGAGCGTATGATTTGGAAGAGGAAGGCAAAGTGGGGAGCTAATTTCTCTAAATGCAAGAGGATCCCTCAGAAAGGGACATGATGGGAAGTAACAGGGGAAGATTAAATGTCCCCTCTTTGCTCACTGCTTCTCCCTTTCCAAATTGCACCCTCCCTCTGCTTTTTTTTTTTTTTTAGCATGCGATGGAGAACCAACCTTCCCTAGCTAAGTTTGCATCACACATCCAGCTTGGTCCATACACAGACTGAAGCATCCAGTGCAGCCCTAAAGCTTGGGGTGGGAGAGGTTTCAGTCACAAAAGAAGCAGCTTTCTCCATGTCTTTTTTCTTTATTTTAGGTATAATATTTTTGAAAGTACAGGTAGTCCTCAACTTATGACCATTTGTTTAATGACTGTTTGAAGTTACGATGGCTCTGAAAAAAGTTATTTACGACCAGTCCTCACACTTATGACCATCACAGCGTCCCCGCAGTCACGTGATCAAAATTCAGGTGCTTGGCAACTGGCATGGATTTATGATGGTTGCAGCATCCCAGGGTCATGTGATCACCATTTGTGACCTTCCCAAGGGGCTTCTGAACAGCAAAGTCAATGGGGAAAGCCATATTCGCTTAACGACCATGGCAAAAAAGGTAATAAAATCAGGTGTGACTCACTTAACGACCACATCAGTTAGTGATGGAAGTTCTGGTCCCAATTGTGGTCGTAAGTCAAGGACTACCTGTACCCTTTTAAAACAATTGCCTTTGAATCTTATGTTTGCAAATCTGTGATTGTATTGCTGCATTCACCGAGGTCTAGGGCTCTGTGTGAATCTGGTTTTGCTATGGTTAACATATGAAGCAGCTTCTGTTGTACCTAGAAATTAGATGTGGTTTTTTAAAACCTCTTTTTAGAGTACCCAAAGCTGTCATCAAACCACACAGAGTCCTGGAAACCAGAGGGCCCAGAGCTCATTGGATCAGGAGAAGAAATGGAAGCAGTATTTGGAAGATGAGCGGATCGCCCTGTTCCTCCAGAACGAAGAGTTCATGAAGGAGCTGCAGAGGAACCGAGATTTCCTCCTGGCCCTTGAAAGAGGTAATGGGCCATTCAAGAACCCTTGGTAGCTCTTTTCTGCTTGTTCCTGGTTTGTAGAGAATAGTCTTCTGCTTGGAAAGGTCATTGTCACAATGCCCAGGTCAACCCAACACACTAGACTGATTTAAAATGGGTGGGATATTTTGTTGAATCACCTTACTGGTGTCTTAGCACAACATTTCTGGAGTGTAGCTTGATGTCCAGTACTTGTTCTTGTTAAGGGGAAAAAAATAGCTTGATCCTTAGAAAATAGACAAAAAAATCACTCTTTCCTCTCCAACCAGAGAATGACAGCCATGATTTTGCCAAGTTGGAGAGGTTTCCTCTGAAGCCCCTGATCAGAGTACAGGCAATCAGACAACCTAACCCAATGTTTCTCAAACTTGGCAACTTTAAGATGTGTGGACTTCAATTCCCAGAATTCCCCAGCCAGCAACTCTGGGAGTTGAAGTCCACACATCTTAAAGTTGCCAAGTTTGAGAAGCACTGATCTAACCCTTAAATAAATTACTTTAAGCATTAATCTATTATTTCTAAGTTCAATTTCTGGGGCTCCCTGCTGGTCCCAAACTGTGGGGGTATATAAGAACAAGGAGTGCAACAGAGAACCAATACATCAAATGCTCCAAAGGCTGTCCACCATTTTGAGTATAAAGTAACAGAAACATAGGATGCAAAAAATGGTACTGAGAAAGAAAAGTGGGCCCCAGCCCCAGGGCATCCATGGAAAGGGGTGCACGTATCTCAAAAATACAAAGGTAGCGATCATGACTTGATGAATGGTGCCCCACCTATTTTTTACATGGGTCATCCATGCATGACTCACATAAAAAAGAGGTGGTTGGATGTGCCATTTTGACTTTTTTGACCCACTCTATAAAGTTTGGGAAATCCCATCTTAGCCTGTTATATGAACCCAGATATTCACATTAAGCCAACATCTGTTTTATTTATAAGGATGCAAGCATCTTATGTGATGCTAATAAGAGTCTAGCAAATTGTGTGAACCGGAACAATTTGAATGTTTCACAAGTCAGAGATGGCTTTTCACCAGGTTTAGCTATTTATCGAAGCCAGAGGCAATAATGTTTCTTTTTCATTTGAAGGAAAGGGAAGTTCTGCACTTTTTTAAAAAAAATAGTTTTTCAGCATCAGGGGCATAGTGTGACGTCCCTGGAGATGGTCAGGACCTGCGTATTCAGCTCCCCTTTTTTGTTGTCATCTTAAAAAGTAAAGCAAGTTCCCAAGTTTGCAACTGCTACATCATAGCATTATGATGGCTCTGCTGTGAGCATTGTACAACCTGTAACATTACAGTGTTGGCACTCAGGGACCCACAAAATTTAAAAGATATTTTAAGAGTACTTAAAAATGACTACCTGTGAGCTCCCATGAGATCTGGGATCATGCTTAATTCTCTTTTTTTACAAATATATTTAAGAAAGGCATTTGTTTATTTGGTGCCTACAACACTACAGGTTGTAGGCACTGGGAAGGTGGCTGACTGTTGTGCTGTTTGTCGTGACCCTGGCAAAGGTGCCAGGGCGTCATGGCAGGCTGGCAAGTTCCCAAGGATATCCCATGGGGTTTTATGGGTTTTATGGATATTGCAGTTCCTGTGTTCTTCTATCATGTTATAGTTAAATTCTTGATCCCATTGCTTTACTGTTAACTGCACGGTGTCCTTGGAGTTTATGTAGAAGGTTGGCTCATCAATTTCCTTTAAAAGATTTGTTTTTCTGTGCTGTCATCTAGATCGATTAAAGTACGAATCAAAGAAATCCAGAATGAACAGCACTGCCCTCAGTTCAGATCCCACGTTGTCCTCAGTATTATCAGGTAAGTGTGTTAGGTTGAATGCATCTCTGTTGCCAAGGCTACTATTAGTTTTGTGGCTAGAGATTGTGCTAAATTGCTTTGTGTATCAGGTTGCCACCCAAGACAGAGTTTTAGCTTTGTGACCACTTGCCTGAACTGTACATTCATGGACGGTTCCCCTGCAGTGCAAATAGAAGACTTTTTTCCTCCTTGCAGAAGGCAGTAGTGGGTCAAAATCAGCAGGATGGTGGTTGAAGCATCGCTTTGCGGGCTCCTTGTTTGGAACGCCCCTGTGACATCAGGGCATGTTCAAAATGGGCGGGGCTTGCATTGCAATACTCTGTCTGCCATCTTGCTGATTTTGATACCCCCTTCCCCTCCACATGGATGCTGCTGACAGAGGTTTGAACTATCCTTTTCCACTGCTGGAAAGCCCAGAAGGATCCATTTCTATTTCACAGAACTCATGTTAGATGTAAAAATGCTTACAGCATTAAGTCTGGTTTGGCCCTGCATTTAATGGTGGTCTTTTCTGTAAGCCACTCAAATCAATTATATCTAAATTCACTTTAAAAAATAGGTTAGCAGCAAAATAACAAATCCGTGAAAAAAATAAAACTTTAAAAATCCTATTAAACTAATAAAAAGAAGTAGATATGATGCAGCTATTAAAAAGATAATCTAACCTCAGAATTACTAATAATCAATTATGATCATAACCAAAACAATTAAAAGTAAGGAGGGGAAAAAAGGGCCTGGAAAGTTGTTCCTTTCAAACTTGGCAACTTTAAGATGGGTGGACTTCAACTCCCAGAATTCCCTCGCCACCCAGAATTCTGGGAGTTGAAGTCCCCATATCTTAAAGTTGCCACATTTGAAAAACCCTGTTCTAAACAGAACAACTCCAATTCGACCATATTGCACCAAAGTCTTTTTCCTTGCCTGAAAATAAAACCTCTAGTTCATTTTTGGGGCATTTTTACTGAACATTAAAGAGAATATATAAACAAACATAGAAAGAAGACAAGGGAAAATAAAAAGTAAAATTCAATGAACAAACAAGGGATTCAGAAATGTCATGGAGGTTATAATTTTCTATTATATATAATATCGCTAGTTGTAAATAAACAAGTTCAAATACTGACAAATGTGCATATCAGTCATCCATTGCTGTAAATCAGATATAGATTTCTCCTTCCAGTATTGAGTCATAATGTTGAGTAAACTGCCAAGAAATTCTGTAACATAAACTCGTTTTTTTAAAAGTCTGCTTTCTCAGAATTGAGTTGATCCAAAGTAATAATATTTTGAGAGGCCCAGTTTACTGAAAACCAGAGATACTTGTGCCATTTACACTATGTTGTCCCGCAGTGTAAGCTTCTGATAAGTAAATGGTCAAAATTATATTTATAAGCCAATGTTTTCCATATGTCTGTTGCAGTGTTTGATGCAGGTACTGAAATCCATCCTTGCACAACTAATAATTGCCAGAATTTCAGTGAGTCCAATCATAACTTGCAAACTGAGCCCAAAGAGGAGCTGAATTCTGAAGTTCCTTATTCCAGACTGAAGCTAGAATAAACGTCAGCATAAAATCTTAAATTATTTTGGCCTGGAGAGTAGTTTATTCTTCTAATTAATATTCACCCAGGCTGGGTTTATACAGGCCCTGAATCAAGTTTTGGATACAATGAAATTATTAACTCAATACAGATAACATCCAGCAGCTATAATTTCTTTGGACGGTGAAAAAGCTTTTGATATGGTTTCTTGGAAGTCATTAAGGCAGATTTTAATTTATGTGGGGTTTCCCTAAAGTTATCCAATTTGGATTGATCTGACTTTCTTAACCCCTAAAACAGTGCTGTACCCTCTCCTTGGTTAGATTTAGTCTTCTGGAGCAGGTGGCCATAGCAAATCTAAGAAATTAAATTGATTAATTAAATTTATGTGTAAGTAAATATGCCAAGGATTCTTTCTTTCTCTTTCTCTTTTAATTTGATTTTAGAACCTTTTGAATGTATTCTCATAAATCTTAATGGCATTGGGGTGGGGTGGAAGCTTCGAATTTCATATACTCTATGCTTTACATACAGATTGGAAATTATATTATAACATTATATTCAATTATTTATTTAAATTTATTATGGCCATCCACTCCAGCAAACTCTGGATGGCTTACCAAATCCCTGAAAACAATTTAAAACAATTAAAAACATAAAACAACACAGACAGCATGGACTACAACCACTATATCAATAGCAAAAAGCCACAAGAAGAGACCCACAAGCACATTAACCCTAGGTCTAAGATCAGAACCACATTTTCAGGCCTTTCTAGAACCCCAAGGAGAGAACCTGGGATCCACGTATACACTCCCATTTGTCACTCAATAAATGGTATGATATTACACTGCTCAACTGGCTTGAGTTTGAAGATCAATATCATACTAGATTTCTCTCTCTTTTCCCAATATCATGGTGCAAGGTACTAAAAATTCTGTTTTGGAGCAGAAAGCTTGTAAAAAATTCCTATTTAGCAGGGAACAAACATCTGTGTTGGTCAGGTAATGAATAACTTGCATAAAGGAGTAATAATTTCTTAGCATTTATCTCTACAAAATTATCTATGGCCAATTGTCACTTCCTCTCATAAAAAGTGCTTGTCATAAGTCAAGTTCAAGATAAACACTTTGGTAGTTCTTGTAACAAGGCAGCAACTTAACCAAGTCCCTGTTAATACAACAAACCTCTGCCATTTCCTGTTCCATCTGCTTAATAAAATCTTTCTTTCAGCAAAGGTTTATTCAAAGAGCCCTTCAAAACATATTTGACATTTTTTTCAAACGGAACAGTATTTCATAGGACCATGATCTGAAACTGCAGTACGTTCTACATCGTATTTGTTTTGACTTCAAGTATCAGAATGAAATATTAGGAAATTACCTAACCAAAAGCAATTGCTGTGTGCAGAAGAAAGGAAAATATAGTCATGTCAGAAGGGATTACTAAAATACCAAATATCCAGTAAATTAAAATCGTATATGAAATCTTGCAAGGTATTACAAATCACAGGGCTTTTCTATACTATGGGCGTAAGCTGCTTGACTCCAGGGCTTTAATCAGCTGGAAATGAAACCAGCTTAAGAAATTCCTTTCTGGATTTCAGCCCCTTCCTCTGCTTTGGCCCCCAGGGGTATTCTCTCTGGACTGCATTTACCATGATTCTGACTGGTGGATTCCTTTTTCATTCCTCCCAGCTGATCTGGGAAAATAAGCACCAAATGCCTTCCTTTCTCTTTGAGGACATGTGGTTTCCATTGATAGACCTCCTGTTGGATTCCCCTTTGTACTTGACCCCATTTGGAGCATCCTTGGTGGACCAGTTCAAAAAATCTTCCTGTCATTTGGGCTAGAAGGAGTAACAGGTAAAACTCTTGACAATTTTACCTGGTAAAAGAAAAACAGAAAGCTCCATCATTTCATAGTTCCATCAATGAACTTGTAAAAAAAGAAGAAGAAAACCCAGCTTTTCACCATTGTGTTGTTGAACTTATTGAAAAAAACAATCCAACTTTTTATTGGTCCACTGTGAGACAGACAAACTGGACTGGTCAAGTCTATTCAAAAGGGGGCAGGCAACCCCACATCCCAGGACAAAAGGGCTCTGAAGGACACCACCAGCGATTGGAAGGAAGGAAGCATCTTGGTCACAGCATGGTAGCCAACTGTAGCATAGATGTTTGCTTGCCATGAAGTGCATCATTCAAACCAGGAATGACCTTGGGAGACAGGAGGAAAAGCCACAGCCTAGACAATGGTCTGATAAATGAAATCTGAGTCTGAAGGAGGGGTGTTGGTGGAGAAGCATCTCGGAAGGGAGGGGAGAGGTTCTTTGAGACTTGGAAGATTGATGTCAGCCCTTTGAGGTACTCCAGACGAGAAGCACCGACCATGAGTACTAACGTTATCTTTATCGTAAGGTTGCTGTAACAGGATCTACCATTACAAATGGAAACACGCTACTTTTGATGTGCAGTATGCAAAGATGGGTGGAATTAAAGAATGATGTGTGTTCCTACCCTTGAGAAATCATCAACAACCTGTGCTTGTGTTCTGGCAACCTGGATGTGAAGATCAGTCCCAAGTGGTGAAGTGTTCCAATCCAAAGAGTGATGCAGGACTTTATTCAGTCTAATTCAGAGCAGGATCCAAATACTGAAAATAATTATTAGTTGTTCTAGAGAATCTGGGGTTGGACTTTATTCGAAAGCAACCTTCTTCCTCTGATATTTCTTCAACAATACCTTAGAAAATCTATAATAAAATGTGCAACACCTTTTGCACATCTACAATTCCTACTTAGTTAAGCCTTAAGCCTTCCCCCCAAAAAACTTTCTGAAAAGTTGTTTGTAGGGAAAGAATGAGTCTCTGAAAGAAGTCCATTTTCAATTCCCATCTTTTTCCATGGTCAGCTGAAGGCTTGAACCCTGTTACAAAGGAGACTTGCTGCTAGATATGATTAATATTAAAGCAGAAAGGGGACGTATAAGCCATATCCAGACCATTTCACAAGAAAAAGTTAAAGCAGGAAGGATTAAAAAAAATACAGTAGTACTTTAACCATAAAATCCAAAAATCCTGATCACATGTCGTTAAACCTTATTGTTACTTTTAACATTATAGGAGAAGGGAAATAAAAGGCAGTTCTGCTAATTGACCTATCCAAATGTATGAATTTTTAATAGAAGAAGATTTAGAGAGAGAAAAAAGGAAAAGCAAGGGAGGAAGAAGAAAGCGAGGGCAGGAAAAAAAAGATGGGAGGAGACCACCGAAGCTGCATAAGAAAATGCAATTTGTAATCTCTCCCCATAGCCAAGACCAAAGAGATATTACAAGAAAATGAATAATTAATTGCTCAAGATAAGGAAGTTTAACAGCCTGGATACAAATAAGCACAATAGCAATATGTAAGGAGAAAAAAAAACTTAATCCTCTTTCTTCAACAATACCTTCCATGTGATTCATAATAATTGTTGAGTGTTGTGAACATTTCAAAACCTGATGAATTATTGAAGGTTCTCTCAAGCAATATTTTTCACAGCGTTGAGTATCTTTCTAAGTTGATGAATTACTGTAATGCACTCTGGGAAACGTATCAATATTTTTATTTCCCCATTCAGTTGCTGTATTCAAGCAGATTAGGCCTTCTCGAAAATTGCATTCCTTGTGGCACATTTTAAGGAAGTTCAAGTCGGAGGCTTGTCAGCTGTATGAAAAGTTGAAGCTGGAACATTTATTTAAAACACTTGCCTGGTGCTTCTCATTCTCTCAAAAAAAATTCCAACTGTAACCTATGGAAAAAAAATCTTTAATAAAAATATATGCATAAAAGAAGAAGAAAATCCCAGCTGTAGATGTATCCAGTGGCTACCCATGAACTCCCAGAATTCCCCTTGAAGTCCACACATCTTAAAATCACCACGAGAAATACAGCCTTAGGGGAAAAGTGAGCCTAGTGTTAGCATTCCATGCTTATCCAGAGTCTCTTACTATTTACTTCTGAAAATGCACACAGCACATTCACCTACTAACAAGCAAACTGCTGCTGCCTGGGGAATTCTGGGAGTTGAAGTCCCCACATCTTAAAGTTGCTGAGGTTGAGAAACTATGCCCTATAGAACAGGGTTCCTCAACCGTGGCGACTTGAAGATGTGTGAACTTAAACTCCCAGAATCCCCAGGTGGGGAAATTTTGGGAGTTGA